GGAAGGGATGTGTTTATTGTCTGGTCTAGAGTCAGGAAGGGCAACCCTTCTCACCCAGCCAGGAACATGCACCTGTTTAGAAAGGCAAGTGTCTGTTTGCGTACAGCCTTCCAATTCGGAAACTCTTGTTGAACAAAGGTCCACGTAGAGAAGAGTACTGAGGGATGGGGTGCTTTTCAGACTGAGGTCCATATTTCCTGCTGCGCAAACTTCTGGAGGCCACATGTTCTGGGGGCAGAGAACTCCATCAGAAGCGGGTGGCCTACAGGCCGGAAACACGACTCAGGTCAATGAGGAGTCAAGCAGACCCGACTCTACGGAACTGCCCGCCACAATAAATTAAGCAGGCACTATCCCTAGTGAAAAAGGGATGCAGGTGGTGCTGTGGGTTAAACCACAGAGTCTAGGGCTTGCTGATCGGAAGGTCGGCGGTTCGAATCCCCGCAATGGGGTAAGCTCCCGTTGCTCAGTCCCTGCTCCTGCCAACCTAGCAGTTCGAAAGCACATCAAAGTGCAAGTAGATAAATAGGTACCACTCCAGCAGGAAGGTAAACGGTGTTTCTGTGCGCTGCTCTGGTTTGCCAGAAGCGGCTTAGTCATGCTGGCTACATGACCTGGAAGCTGTACGCCGGCTCCCTCGGCCAATAAAGCGAGATGAGCGCCACAACCCTAGAGTCGGCCACAACTGGACCTAATGGTCAGGGGTCCCTTTACCTTTATCCCTAGTGAGTTTCAGATGTCTGGTGAAAAGTCTTTCATTTCAGGAGGCCTTTGCTCCACAAATGCTTCCCATGTGTGTGTCTGAGATGGTAAATCTTTGAGTTTTTACGTTTTGGAGGTTTAGTTTATGTTTTTAATTTGTATGTGTTGAATATGCTATTGTTGTAAGCCGCCTTGAGACCTATGCAGGGAAAATTGGTATATAAGCATTTAAGTAAAGTCCTGCATTGGAGAGTCCCTTTGGATTACTACACTCCCAAATCCTCCAAGTGTCCCTATTTTCCAGGGACAGTTCCAGATTTAGAGAAACCATCCCAGTTTCTGATATGATCCTGGAATGTCCTGATTTTCCTTAGGATGCCCCTATTTTCATTTGAGAAATTTTGGAATATATGGAGTTATCCGACCCCTGAGCCGTCTGAAGGCAATCCTGTATAGGGAAGGGTGTTGTTTTTTTAAATGTTTAATGATTTATAATGTTTTTATATATGTTGGAAGCTGCCCAGAGTGGCTGGGGCAACCATGTCAGATGGGCTGGGTATAAATAGTAAAATTATCATTGTGGAATGAGACTCCCTATTTTCATCTGAGAAATGTAGGAGGGTATGCAGTCTACCACATTCCACCCCCTCATTTCCTCCCAGCCACCTTGGACATCTCCACCTTCTGCGTTGAAGGACTTTCCTTCCTCGCGGGGGAAGTAATGCAAGGTCAGAGACAGTTGTAGGTGATCGTGCCTCTTCAAGTCATCCTTGTTCCTCTCCACCCTTTCCTGTTTTCAGATCCTCTGAGAAATATCTCCATTGTCTGTCTTGACCTTCACCATCCATCCGTTTCTGCTTCTGATTATTTCTGACTCTTGAATTCCCAGAAGAGAGAGGGAGCTTCTTAACACTTTTCTTCCCTGGGTGACGCTGAGGCCACCTCTATTTTATGAGGAGGAGAACAATCCTCCTTTCTCTCTCTTTTTTATTAAAAAAAAATCTATTTTTATTTATACTTATCAAAAGATATACAAAACTTCATACCCAATAAAAAGTATCTTTTTATAATACACCAGAATGAAATGTTATAAATATCTAATCTAAAAAGAAACAGAAGCGAAAAGAAGAAGAGAAAGACAAAAAAAGAAAGAGGGGGAAGGGAAAAGAGAGAAAAAGAAAAGAAAATGGAAAACAATAAAAAGTATTTTGGTTCTCTGTCTGTCAGCTTAGTATTCGCTCACTAATATCCAACTACTCTATTTTCTATAAGCTAATATCTTTCCAATCTTGAAATCCAGATGTTACAAGTTCATTTTCTATTTCATGCAAAAAGCCCATAAGAAGTTTTCATCCAACCATCTTCCTTTATCCAAGTCGTTTATTAAAAATATTGAATAACAACAGGCCCAGGAAAAAACCCTACAGCACCCCACTTGTCACTTTTCCCCAGGATGACAAGGAACCATTGATGACCACTCTTTGGGTTTGGTCAGTCAACCATCTACAAATCCACCTTACAGTTACTGCATCCAGCCCATGTTTTACCAGCTTTTCCACATGAATATCATGGGGGACGTTGTCAAAAGCCTTACTGAAATCAAGATATACTACATCCACAGCATTCCCCTCATCCACCAGGCTTGTAACACTATCCAAAAAAGAAATGAGATCTGTCTGGCATGACTTGTTTTTGAGAAACCCATGTTGGGTCTTAGCAATCGCAGCAGCCTTTTCTAAGTGCTCGCAGACTGACCATCAAAGCAGTTGTTGTTGTTGTTGTTTAGTCATTTATTCGTGTCCGACTCTTCGTGACCCCATGGACCAGAGCACGCCAGGCACTCCTGTCTTCCACTGCCTCCCGCAGTTTGGTCAAACTCATGCTGGTACCTTCGAGAACACTGTCCAACCATCTCGTCCTCTGTCACCCCCTTCTCCTTGTGCCCTCCATCTTTCCCAACATCAGGGTCTTTTCCAGGGAGTCTTGTCTTCTCATGAGGTGGCCAAAGTACTGGAGCCTCAGCTTCAGGATCTGTCCTTCCAGTGAGCACTCAGGGCTGATTTCCTTCAGAATAGATCAGTTTGATCTTCTTGCAGTCCATGGGACTCTCAAGAGTCTCCTCCAGCACCATAATTCAAAAGCATCAACTTTTCGGCGATCAGCCTTCTTTATGTTCCAGCTCTCACTTCCATGAATTTAGCAAGGGCTGGAAATGACACCAACTAGCTTGGGCCCAAGCTTGCTGGTTAAATGCCAAGCCCCCTTGGACTTCTGCTACTGCTCAGCAGAAATTGGGGTGGACCGTGACACCACCCTGCTCCACTGAACAAATTCCACAGAGAGGGAAGGAGGGGGAAAGAATTCTAAATCCTACAGCTGAGAAGCACACTCTCGATAACTCTGATTTTCTACTTTAATCCGTTTCAAACTTGGCAAGAATGAGAATTAGCAAACAGCCATAACAAACCCCTGTGCGCCGCAGCTTATGTCAACAGGAGATGCGGAATTACAAAATTGCTCAGGAAAATGCAAGGAATTTCCTGAAGCTGCCAACCCTCCTGGCAGGAGCCACATATATATGTAAGATGCGTAAGATGTCAGCATTGTTCTGATAAGATTCAAAATCAGAAGAGATAAAAGTCTTTACCGGTTAAGGCCACGACACCATTTAAGCACTATGTTGCACAAAGAGCCATCTGTGATGAACTGGAAGAAACAACAACCCTCTCACTTGTTTTACATGTTCCTTTTGATGAAAGTTGTTGTTGTTGTTGTTGTTGTTGTTGTTGTTGTTGTTGTTATCCCGCCCATCTGAGTGTCTTCCAACCCTTAAACTTTTTTAGGCAGCAGATCCTGTTCACACTTCCCCAGGGTTACATCCCATTGAATTCAGCAGGGCTTACTTCTAAGTAGACTTCCATCTGTGCGACTTCATGGTCACGGGCCCCATTTATTTATTTATTTAGTTAGTTAGTTAGTTGAATATTTATGCTCTGCACTCTCATAAAATATATCAAGGTAGCTCATAGCATGAAATCCAATAAAACCAACCTAGGAATATCAATAAGACACAATTGCAAATGTCAATAAAACCATCAGTAGATACTTCCCCTTCATGTGAAGGCAGTCTCCAGTGGATTGAGTGGATGGAGCCAAGCCAAAGATGCTCTCTTGGCTTCCATCCAAGAGAGGACAAAGGGACTGTCTCCTTATGATATAGTTTCCAGGTGTATGTTACTTTTCTAAGCTAAGTCTGCCTTCTGGGATCCAACTGTGAACAGAATGTGAGTGAGTAAACTCTTTTTATACTTTTATAGAAGACTGTGTCGTGTCTTATCTTTTATGAGGGAATAAGGGGGAAATACCAGAACAGCTATTATAGAGGCTTTAGCGAGCCTGAGCTAACGCATCCGCTGTGAGTTTAAAAAGGGGAATGTTACTCTGCTAAATTGTGAACTTGTTAACACAAGATGGAAAGGCTATAATCAAATAATATATCCTCTCCTGCATCCCTGAACATTCCCACAGCCTGGAGGACTCTCTAGGAGATGGGTGAGGAGAGGAGGCTGAGGAAACACTCCACAAGGGTGAGAGGCTGCCAGCTCTGCAGGGGTGACACAACTGGGCACCTGAGATTGCAGTTGGCCAAGGGAGCCGTGGACTCAAAAAGGTTGAAAACACTTGAAGTAGGGGATTTTCCACAGGTCAGGGCTCAGCCCTTAGTGAAGGACCCTGGAACCCCCAGGAAATGGGGAACCACCAGAAATGACCCTTCAGAGGATCTCAGAGATGGAGGTGGCATAGAAAGAATCAAATGGTCCTGACAACACATTGGGCCAAAGTTGTTTGGGGCTTTGTGCAGCTCTGCCAGTAACATGCCCTCCAATATTTATCCAATGAAAATAGGTACATCCATCATCATCATCATTATTATTATTATTAATACCCCACCCATCTGACTGGGTTGCCCCAGACACTCTGGGCAGCTTCTGACATATATAAAAACATAAGAAAACATTAAACTAGGCATAGGCACATTTTTAAAAACAGTCGTAAGGGAGAGCTTATTCTTAGGAGTTTCCCAAATGTCTCTGGGCAGCACTGGAAGCCTCATGTGCACATAAATACGTGCGCACACAACCACAGAGGCCCTTTCATGAAAGGCTGCTGAAAGGGGAACCCACACAATTCACTAGCTATTCATTCCCACCACAGTGCAGCTTCTCAGACCAGATCTAGGACTGACTGTCCTGAGCCAAGAGGCACAAAGTCACTTTGCTGGTTCTAGGAGGGGAAGAGTGGGGGTTTTTGTGTGTGTGTTTGTTTGTTTGTTTGTTTTTTGCATTCTTCAAATTAAGAATACACACAAACAAACAAACAAACAAACACACACACACACACCACACACACACACATATTGTTTTCACCTTTTACAAATATTTTAACAAAAAATCCACACCCAAAATTATCTCCATTTCTTTCGACTTCCCTCCCCTCCTTTCTGTGGTTACTTACGTTTGTATCTTTTTATAACTGCATATCCAGTTCAAACCTGTTTACTAATTTCCCCTTATGTTCAATTATTTCTTACTGCACGAGTTTATGTCAATCCTGCTAATATTTTATTTTATTTTTTCAATTTTTTTTATTGATTTTCCAAAAAGCTTTTTTAGACAAACAAACAAATAGACAAACAAACTTAAATCTCAACCGTATTTAAACCAAACTTAATAACATTGTTAAGTGACTTCCTCGTATCTCCCTGGTTGGATTTCACTGTATATCATTTTAACGGTTTTCCAAAACCAATATTCTTATAAAATTAACTTCATCACTTAACATCTTTCTTTCTTTACAATTCAACATTAAACATATTAATTCACCACATCCCATGTTTAAATCCTAGGCCTATCTGGTCTTTGCAAGCTTTTCCAATTAATTTAGCTTAACATATTTAACTAAATAGTCTTTAAATTTCCTCCATTCCTCAATCCTGCTAATATTTTAAGTTGTTTACAATGTGTCTTCAAATAATCAACAAATTTTCCCCATCCCATTTTTAAAAGACTCTCTTCTTGATTTCTTATTCTTCCCGTGAGTTTTGCCACTTCTGCAGAGGCCATTGACTTTGCTTGCCATTCATTTTTCCTTGGGTGGGACAGTAACTTCAGCACAATATCCCTGCACAAAAAGCAGCCTGGCAGCTGTGGTTGCAGACATAAACAGATTTTTTTTCCTGGTCTTTCATTATATCCTGGCCTATTATCCCTAAAAGAAAAGCTTCTTCTTTTTCTTTAGTAAAAGTTACCTTCAACAATTTTTTCAGTTCCTTATAAATCATTTCCCAACCATATGCAGTTGAAGGAGAGCTGAGCAAGTAAAATCAAAGCAAGGTGGACTGCTTAAAAGCTGTTGTTGTTTTTTTGCACCAGATCTGCTTTGGGTTACCTGGTACAGAAAGAGCTTTTTTCCCCTTTAATGTTTTTATAGCAATTTCAGCATAACAACATATCAAAATATATCATATTCATTATTTTTCCCCTTCCCCCCCCAAACCCTCCTTCCCTCCCCCAGAGACTTCCCTCAGCTCCTGACTCTGATTTCTCAACCCATATTATTCTCTGCATGTTATAAAATTATACAAATCTTCACACTATCTGTCTACCATGTTGTCAATCAATAAATTTGTGTATGTTTATTCAAAACCTGCCAAGGAGTCCAATTCATTTTGTCGTCTTTTTAAGTGATTTGTGAAAAGTTCCCATTCTTCTTTAAAGTCACAGTTGTCCTTATCTCACAGTTTGTATGTCAGTTTAGCCAACTCTGCATAGTTCATCAATTTCTCTTGCCACTGTTCTTTTGTCGGGGTTTCCTCATTCTTCCATCCTTGTGCTATCAAGACTCTTGCCGCTGTCGTTGCCTACATAAATAAATTCTTTGTTTTTCTTGGCAGGTCTTGTCCTACAATCCCTAACAAAAATGCTTCTGGTTTTTTTACAAATGTCCTTTTAAACATTTTCTTCAATTTATTATATATCATTTCCCAAAATTTTTTAACTTCTCTACATTCCCACTGTTATGTACTGAAGTTCTCACCCTGGGCCAGCAGGGGGATACTGTAGATAGTTTTCACTCAGGTCCACATATGCAAATAAGGAATTGAAAGTGACGTTCAGTGATTGGATAGTTACAGAAAGTTGTTACTGTTGCTTTGTAGTTGAGCTCTATATAAGCAGGTTGGCTGAACCCTTCAGCCCAGTTGTGTTCTGGGCCTGTGAATAAACAAGAGCTGTTTGAAGAATCACTGTGTCATCTGATATGTTCACCCACAACTTAACACCCACCACATATGATAAAAAGTCCCTTCTTTTTGGTACAGAAAGAGCTTTTAAGCTCTCTGCCTAGCTGCAGCGGGGGGGCTGGTAAGGTCAACTGAGTGCACCAGCTGTGGGAGGCTCTTGTGAGACCTCACAGGGCAATCTGCGCTCCCGCTAAAATCTCACACAAGCACCTCTCTCCTTCCAGAGAGGCAGATTTAGGGGGGCATGACCGGTTCATCTGCATTGGTGCCACACTGGAAGGGCATCGCAGAGGAGACTGCAACGATGACCGAGGTACCAAATTTTTGTGTTGCAAGGGCGCTGCTGGAATTCAAAAGCCCAAAGTCTGCCACTGCTGGTGAACCAAGCACCCTTGCCCTTCACCCCAGCAAGACTTAAAACACTCTTTTCATGCTGGATCTGCTTGGGTTACCCAGCATGAAATGAGCTTTTTCTCTCCCCCTCACCCACTAGCTGTGGGACAGCTCCAAGGGTTTGGGAATACAGCGGTACCTTGGTTCTCAGACTTAATCCGCTCCGGAACTCCGCTCGAAAACCAAGGCACGCTTTCCTGTAGAAAGTAATGCAAAGTGGATGAATCTGTTGGAGACTTCTAAAAGCAACCCCTAAAACAGCAATTTAACGTGAATTTTACTCTCTAACGAGACCACTGATCCATAAAATGAAGGCAGTAAACAATGTACTGCAGTCACACAGTCAATCAATCAGTAGCTGAACTGGGTTCCACGCAGTCACAAAAACAAAAACAAAAGAGCCACAAAAAATGCAAAATAAATAGCAAAAACAGACAGACCTCAGCGTAACACTCAAATCGTCAGCGTAACATTCAAAATGGAAGTGTGACACTCAAATCAGAAGCATACCGTAACACTCAAACCGGAGTACGTTCAGCTTCTGAAAAAGTTCACAAACCAGAACACTTCCGGGTTTGCAGTGTTTGGGTTCCAAGGCATTTGAGAACCAAGGTACCACTTTACGTGATTTTCGTGTATATGCAGAACTCCTGGAAGTGAACCCCCACCTTAGATGTGTCCATACCATACTGAACCAGACAGACAAACAGTATGGCCTGGGCTCAGGTAGCTTGCTTTGTTTTACATCCAGCAGAATCAAGTGGTAAAGCTTTTCCTGGACTGTACCACTTCAGGCAGCAGGGGGGTGTTGGGGAAAAGGTTTCCCCCCTTGAATGCATCCACTTCCTACCTACGGTGGCAGGCTTTGTGTGTATGCAATCCAGGGAAACATTTGTCACTGGATTTTGCTGGTTTTGTATAACCTGAAGCATTTCAGGTCAGCATTTCAGGAGAATCGAGGCGCTCAACTGTCCCATTTCAGACTGCAGACGGACAGTTTCCTCTTTGAGGGCTCCCTTTTTAGCAGGATAGGGGACACGGGTGGCGCTGTGGGTTAAACCACAGAGCCTAGGACTTGCCGATCAGAAGGTCGGCGGTTCGAATCCCCGCCACGGGGTGAACTCCCATTGTTCAGTCCCTGCTCCTGCCAACCTAGCAGTTCGAACGCACGTCAAAGTATGAATAGATAAATAGGTACCGCTCTGATGGGAAGGTAAACGGCATTTCTGTGCGTTGCTCTGGTTCGCCAGAAGTGGCTTAGTCATGCTGGCCACATGACCTGGAAGCTGTACACCGGCTCCCTTGGCCAATAAAGCGAGATGAGCGCCGCAACCCCAGAGTCGGCCACGACTGGACCTAATGGTCAGGGGTCCCTTTACCTTTTACCTATTAGCAGGATAAAGAGAGCAAAGCAGAAAACAGGTGTACTGTTTGGGGTTTTGGTGAGGGAGCATTAAAAGAAAGCCCACCCAGTTGGAGGGCAAGTGGTTCAGTCCTTGCAAATCTTTACCATTTCGCTCTGCCAAGAGTGTAGCACGAAACCTGCCTTCTGACTCAGCCCTTCTTGAACTAGCCAGGTGGCCTAGAAGGGGAAAACCAGGGCTTTCCCCTCACATCCTACCTTGGAAGTGCAACGCAGCTTCTTTTTACTGCCTGCCAGCTTAATGAGGATGGCGTTTTCCACCCACAACAGATGGAGATCAGCCTTTGCTGCAGGCAGGATGCTACCTGGGAATTGCGAGCATGCAATTTCTCTCTTTTGGAGCCATGAGTCACTTTGCTTCTCTCATGCTGAATCAGGAAGGATCTGAGAGTTCCTGTCCCTTTCCAGCCCTTGTACATCTCATCTCCTTAATAGCTTCCTCTACCCTTGAGTTAATTTATCGGGCGGCAGAGAGGGAGGGGTACCTCCGGAAGATTAGAGGTTTCCGAAATTTCTCATGAATTGAACCAGCTTCCCAGCTACCGGGAACGAGAATCAGCAGCCACTTTGCTTTGGCAGTTATGAGGATCAAATGAACACTTTCCCCAAACCACGCCAGCCATTTAGGAACATCAGAAGCTGCCTTATCAGGCCATTGGGGCCATCTAGTTCAGTATTGTCTACACTGACTGGTAGTAGCTATCCAGGGTTTCAGGAAGGGGACATGATTCTCAGCCAGGGGTGCCAACTTGAATAAAATATTGGGGGGGGGGCAGGTAAACCCCACCCTGCATAATCGATCACATGATTCAGCACATGCACAACATTTGAATGGCAATGTCCATTAACACGGAGGACCTTACGGTCTGCAGGAGGGGGCTCTCAAATATTTTATTGAGCGGAGGCCAAAGGGACTTCAGCACCCAGGAGTTGGCTCCTATGTCCTCAGCCCTACCTGAAGATGCTGTCAGGGACTGCTGGCACCTTCAGCAGATCCTCTACCCCTGAGCTGTGGCTGTTCCTCTACAGCAGAGGTCAGCAAACTTTTTCAGCAGGGGGCCAGTCCACCGTCCCTCAGACCTTGTGGGGGGCCAGACTATATTTTTTGGGGAAAATAATTATGAATGGATTTCTATGCCCCACATTTTAAATAAAAGGACACATTCTACTCAGGTAAAAACACACTGGTGCCCGGACTGTCCGCAGGCCGGATTTAGAAGGCGATTGGGCCAGATCCGGCCCCCGGGCCTTACTTTGCCTACCCATGCTCTACAGCCCATCTCCCCATTAA